TTCTTTTCATTGGATTAGAAAGCAACTCACTCAACCTAAGTCCATCTCCTCCTCAAATTTGGCTTCATTCAATCATACGAAACCGATCAAATTGATCATCCATGGTTTTACCGATCGAGCATCAAGTTCTTGGGTGATCAATATGACAAGAGAACTATTGAAATTGGTATGTTGCTAGTTTCTTTCTAAATAAATTCACTTTTTAGAGGAAATTTATAGGAAGACATGAATGTGATTACTGTTGACTGGTCTGGTGGTAATCAGTTTCCGTATGGTCAAGCGGTGGCCAATACTGTAATAGTGGCCGCTGTTATTCGACAGCTCCTTCAAGCAATAATCAATGTCGGTGCACAACCACAACAAATGCACTTGATCGGCCATAGTTTGGGTGCACATATATCGAGTTATGTGGGACGAGATTTACCTAATTTAGGACGCATCTCTGGCTTGGGTATATTCATATCAGAAATTGTAGACCATTCATGTTTTTTTTTCTGAGTATAGATCCTGCCGGACCTGATTTCTACGTTTCTCTGATTCCTGACCGTCTCGATCACTCCGATGCTCTGTTTGTGGATGTGATTCACACGGATGGTGCACCTCGCGTACACTCTGGTTTCGGTCATTTGGAGCCATTGGGACATGTGGATTTCTATCCTAATGGTGGTTCTGCTCAGCCCAGTGAGTCTCTATAAATTCATTGACAACATGGAACTTCCCCTTTTTCCTTTCATATAGCGTGTGGTAGTAATACCGGTGCCGTCTTACTACAATCGGCATGGAGTTTAATCAGTACCTTTAATGTGGCAAGTGAGTAGAACTCTCTTGCAGCTTCACTTAAACTGCTTGTCTCTGCACTTTAGATGCTGCCGATACGTTTGCCTGCAATCACATGTCAGCCGTGTACTATTATACTGATTCAATCAATACACCTTCGCCGGCTTTTGCTTATCCTTGTTCGGACTATAAAAGTTTCGAGCAAGGTTTGTGCACATCTTGTGGTTCGAGTCCCAATCAATGCCAACGAATCGGCTATCATGCTTCACCATCAAAAGCACTTGGTACACTGTATCTCATGACATTGCATGGAGTCAAGCCACCTCATTTAGGTCTGCACTCATGTCACTAGAGAGAGAGAGAGAAAGAAGAAAGAGAAAGATTGAAGTTTTATTTTTCTAGGCTTTCACTTCAGAGTGACACTTGAATCGGACATGAACGACAATGAACAGCAAACACGAGGCATCATCAAAGTCAAATTCGATGAACAAGAAGAGGACGCATCGTTGTTCGAGTATGTGAATATATACATACATGTTCAAATAAATTCATTTGTTCTATTCAGTCAAAATACACTGCTCAAACGTGGCTCTATCAATTCAAAAACGATTCTCATTGCCAACAAACCCAAGACACTGAAAAAGATCAACATTTCATTCAAAAAAAGTCTAGGTTTCAGTCTCGGCATTGGTCTCGCCGATCAATGGAATTTTCGTTCTGTCATTGTGCTTGATATGCAATCCAATTCCAGGTTAGTCATCCATTCATAAATTAGTAGACAACACGCTACCGTTTTTTCTTTATCCAGTTACAAATTTTGTCCGACATCGAATTCACCGATGATCAAGAGCGGCTCGAATCTGACGTACAAATTATGTTGAAGTTTTAATCTCATTCGTTCTTTGTCTAGTGAGAAATAAATACGATGACATTTACTCCAGCAAAAGCATTTGTTTAGCTTCTGTGTATCACTTCAATGTTCTGTGCACTTCAAACATACAAAGTTTAAAAGACACTCATATATACGAACAACCATAAAGGAACTAATTTTCTGCATGTGTTGCCCCATGTCATCAAAGTCACGCAAAACTCAGCCATTTATAGCGATTTACCATGCCGATTAATTGTGGGATTAATCGCGGTCGATCTGCGATTTTTCTCTGATCGGTAAACCCCTTATTCCTAACCTTAATCTCTTAATTCTCAACTGAAGAAAAAGGTACAATTCCGAACTTAGGGTGTGGGTATGGGTGTTATTGTTTACTTTTAATGACCAAAATAATTTCATACCTGCTAAATAGGTTATAAAATCTTTAAGTTCGATTGAGTTTAATGTTAATTTGCGAAGTTGAACATAGTCACAGGCAAGTAGAATATGTTCCAGGGAAGATGTGAGTGTGGGTATGTGAATTTGGTCTGGGTGGTGGGTGGGTCTTGCATTTACCAGCATCTATGCTCACATCCGTACTCACACCCACAGTCGGACTATCAACAGTTTATCTTTTTTATTAGAAATAAAACCTTTTCTTTCTATTCAAAGATTCATCCTCCATATCTCATTTATGCTTTTAGTTTCTCACTTCTATTTTTTAAGTTTTGTTTTGTTTCTGTTTATGCTTAACGAATATCATGCAGTCCTGATAATTATTCATTTTTCAATAAATAGCATAAAAAACTGTTTGTTGAAATTGATTGCAATTTTCTCTAAGCTTTCCAATCGACGAGATTTAATTGATCGTTGTACTGCTTTTTAACCTTCGACTTAGTCGATTGTTGAGAAGCAAGAGTTGAAATTAGTAGATTAGATTCGTCTCTTTTTCAAAATATAGATTGATTCGTTTTCAATCGATTGACACACCCTCACCTTGACTGACAACCACATTCGTGTTCTATTTTTACCGTTGATGCCATTTATTTATTCAGTTGAACCCTCACACTCATACATGGGCGGAAAAAAACAGTTTCTTCCTGTACAATTTGCTGTTCTACACATTCATTCAAACGTATTTCGATTCGTCGACCATCTTCCGTTCGTACAAGTGATGTTATCTTAAATGGTGCATAACGTAAAATTAGCACTTCCTCTTCATGAGAAAAACAGGATATTCGTCCAATATAAAGCTCTGTGTGACGCCGAATATTACTGATATTATATGTGCAATATATTGATATTCCTCCAGGAGAAGCAGCAGCAAAAGAACATGCTACATCTGGATGCCTTGATGTTGATAGAAATATTGTTGTTATTATTGTAGCACCCTTCCTGTAATTGGCTACAAGTTTCTCATCCTCAAGAGATATCTCACGATAGACTGTTTCATTTCGAACAAGGTATTGATCTAACTTTGGATGAAACAGAATGGTAGTGAACAACGCTTCAGTGTACTCTTGAGTATAAGCCAGAATCGGACAGTTCAGAAGCGTACAATAAAGTTTTAGTAAATAATATGTATTTGCAGCTGAATGCTTATTCAGACGCTCAGTAAATTCGCTACTTCGAGTGTAGGCTCTAATAATCGATAATGGATTATTCTGTCGACGAGCTTGTTGAAAATATTCTCTAATCTGATTCCAACTGGTGCCAGTAGGTAAGAATTTTAAAAATGTTTCTTCTATTGTCCGTACTTGGCCAACTATACTGGAAGATAATTTTAGTTTTTGAAGATCCTTATGAAAATCTTCAGCTATTTCTATAGCTTTATCATTTTGATCAATATTCAAATGCCATTCTGGCCACTCTAACTTGTTTCTTTGACGTAAAACATCGTGTAAATCGCAGTCGCCAGCGCAATAGATCTTTTCTTGTAAATTTTTCAAGAGTGTTTCGAACGATGTTGCAGTTGTAGTAGAAGGCGATGCCGATATTGAAATCGTTCTTCTTCTAGTAATAGAACGTAGTATAGTCATCAACCATTCTCGGATTGTCGATACCCATTGACGTGCAGTCATTTGGTTCATCTGAAAATTCCACAGGTAAATAATAACTTTATATCCGACCGGCAATCCAATAAGCGTTTCGATAAGTCGATTTAAAGTTGTGTTAAACATCGAAGTTCCAGATGGATCCTCGGATTTTCACTTTTTGATAAGTCAGTAAAACACGAATGTTGCGACCAGTCGAACAATTTTTATCAAGTGGGATCAAAATTTGACCAAAATATAAAGGACTTTTTCCTATAGATGCCTCATTGGCGAGTAATCGACATTTATCGAACAAACATGGAAGAAGAGGTTCGAACGTAGATACTTATCACTAACATTCGTCGAATATCGAAACTGAATATGAACTATTGCTGTTCTACGAAAGTTATCTTTTCAATTCTTAGAAGGATAGTATTTTCAAGATTATAATTCAAACATTCACTAGCAGTTTTTGAAAATTTAAAAAAAAACTTTTTAATTGAATGGAAACACCTTTTCTGTGTCTCTAATTACAGAAAAGACGTTTTTGAAGTCTCAGATACCATATAAGCAGTTTATTTGATAAATAATTTATTTGTGTGATTAAAGTATAAAATTAATACTAAAAAACTTTCAAATATTCAAAACATGTAACTCATTATGAATATTTTTCATTGATAAAGTGTATGAAATTCAGTGTCATTTATTATTTTTCATCAGTCAATTTTAAATATTTTTTTAGAAAATTATGAAATTAAAGAAAATATATGTCGAACATATATCATTCTACTAAAACAGCCGAATGAAAGAGACATTTGTAAATAACTTTGTGATGAAGTTTTAAGAAATCAAAATTAACCTCACCATTTGAAACGCTTATTCTGCTAGATTTGTTTCTACTGAAGCACTCAATACTTTGCAATCAGTATGTTTCTTTTCTCAATTAGTCGAAACTTCGATGAGTATCGAGGGAGGGGATAAAAGTCCTTGAAGAGTCGAAAACCAATGCTCGGTAGAATACGGCTTTTGCGTAGCCGAGATCCAATGGCTGTCAAAGAATTCAAAATAGGAACAGAACGAAAAAAAACGCTTCAAATTTCCGAGCGCTCGTCACACCCACTATATTTTATTTAAAGGTAACTTAAGTAGGCACCGAAAGAATTCTTGTTTCATGTTAGCCTCACTGGAGACGTAAACACTCAAGAATGATGAATACGTATATGGATTTGTGCGACGATACCAATTTTCATGTATTTCCAAAATGCTCAGTATAGAAAATAGAGTACATGTAGAAAGTTAATTTACATCTGTACACACCTTATAAAAGGTTCTAAATCTGCTAGTTTCTTCTTAATACTGTTTGGACACTATCATTCGCCTTTATTTATTCAACTTAAATTTAATGTCGGTTACAATAAGGTAGAACAAAATATGAACTGGGTGCGAGTATGTGGTATGGGTAGGTGTGAATGAGTGTATGCGGAGTCGATGTGGAATGTGTGGTACACAGCTTACACACAATATAACTAATATCCATACCTTCAAGTTTATTACTCGATCAAATTGAGCACAATATTTGATCTGAAGAAACCTGCTTGCTTTATGTCCCTGTATTTAAAAAGAGAGAAAGGTCAATACGTCATACTTACCCAATAGAGTAAAGCAATATGTTTTATCCTTATTTGAAAATATTTGCTTACGTGCAACGAAGAGAGAATGAAATACTTTGTACAAGATAAATGTCTTTTTTGCGTTTTATTTCATTCTCTTCCAAACAACCTTTGCAGCAAGAACAGAATTTAATTTGACAGCATTTTTTCGTTACTAAATATGTACAAAAATAAATATTTTTTGTGCCGAAGGAAAAAGTTCTGATTCCCAAACGTGTATGGTTGGCGTGGGTGTGGATGTAGATGTGGGTGTAGGTGTGTGAATGTAGGTGTGTGAGTGTGGGCGTGTGTAGGTATGGATGGAAGTCAAGAAATAACGAATATCCACACCGACATCTACCCCACATCCACACACCCATCCCACATGCACACCCGACACCTGCAGCCATGCCCACACCTACACCCACACTGCAAGTCGAAAACAATAGAAGTCAAGTTATGATTATTAACTCAAATGATCGTCAGAAGACATTATCGAAGCATACTGAACTAAGATTCATTTCATACCAATCTGAACAAAATAACTACCTTATTTTACCGATACTATCACAAAAAAGCAAGTGTCAACCAACATATTCGAAATCAACCTTTCATAAGAGGAATAACTCTGTAGATTGTTCCTGGATTCCATCAACATATGACAAGAGGAAAGTCCAATTCATGAACTTAACCTGTCGAATGGACAACAATGATGAAGAACAGTCCCAATGATCTGTCTGCCAAGAACAATTTTCATCACGCAATGATTTACAATAACATTTACGTCAGAAATGTTATCCATCAGAAAGGTGGAAACAAATTGAAAAATTAACTCAACACGTCGAAGACAAAAAATAACGACAACACTCACAACAGACTTTATGAAAACATGGAAAATTATTTGATCTTCGTCAACCGTCCATCATCAAAACTACAGTCCATCATGCTATTGAAACTGGTACTCATCCACCAATTTGTACTTCATCATATTGTGTTTCATACAAGGATGAACAAATACGAAGAGAAGAAATTGATAAATTATTCAAGCAAGGAATAATTGAAGAATCCGCATCGCCATGGTCGGCTTCAATTGTACTGGTCCGAAAAAAGATGGTTCTGTTAGATTCTGCATTGATTTTAGAAAATTAAATAATATTACTACAAAGGATGCATTTTCCATGCGTCAAATTGATGTTTTTTGGTTACCTATCACAAGCTGAATATTGTACCACTCTTGATTTCAAATCAGGTTATTTTTAAGTTGAACTCAACCTAAAGGATCATCCAAAAAACAGGTTTCTCAACCAGATATCAACATTATCAATTTATAG